GCAGCACCCAAGACAAGAGGGCCCCCGGGCCGCCGTCCCAGAGCCGGAGCTGTACAGAACTGCACAAGCACCTCACCTCCGTGCCAGCCTGCCCCCAGGCGAAAGCCTGCTCCCCAGAGAGGGGCCTGCGGCCCCCACCTCCACTGAGTCCCCGGCTCCCTGCCAAGGAAGACGAGGAACTGGCTGAGGACTGCCCGAGCCCCCGGCCAGCCCCAGCCTCTCCCAGAGACTCTCCAGCACCGGGCAGGGCAGGCCCCAGTGCCCAGGCTTCCCAGGAGGACATGCAGGCAATGGTGCAGCTCATCCGCTACATGCACACCTACTGCCTCCCCCAGAGAAAGCTGCCCCCGCAGACTCCAGAGCCAGCCCCCGAGCCCTGCGGCAGCCCCTCTAAGCAGGCCAGGCCCCGGCCCCGGTCCCAGCACCCCCCCAAAGCCTCCTTGTCTGAGTTCTCCATCCTGAGGGAACTTCTAGCTCAAGATGTACTCTGTGACGTCAGCAAGCCCTACCGCCTGGCCACACCAGTCTACGCCTCCCTCTCATCCCGGCCAAAGCCCAGGCCCCCCAAAGACAGTCAGCCCTCCCCTGGCCGCTCATCCCCTGTGGAGGAGGTGAGGATTGCAGCTTCGCCCAAGAGCAGCGGGCCCAGACCCAGCCTGCGCCCACTGCGGCTAGAGGTGAAAGGGGACGTCAGCCGGTCTGCCAGGCGGCAGCAGGAAGAAGAGGAGGACGAGGAGGAGGAAGAAGAGGAAGAAGAGAAAGAGGAGGAGGAGGAGGAGGATGAGGAGGAGGAGTGGGGCAGGAGAAGGCCAGGCCGAGGTCTGCCGTGGACCAAGCTGGGGAGGAAGCCGGAGAGCTCTGTGTGCCCCGTGCGGCGGTCTCGGAGACTGAACCCTGAGCTGGGCCCTTGGCTGGCATTCACGGACGAGTCGCTGATCTCCTCGGAGCCCCGAGGTGCTCTGGCCTTGCCGTGCCTGGCCCCCGAGGCCGACGACATGGAAGGGGAGCTGGGCAGCCCCACGGACGAGGACAGTGGCCAAGGCCAGCAGCCCCTGCGGGGACCCCAGATCCCAGCCCTGGAGAGCCCTTGTGAGAGTGGGTGTGGGGACACCGATGAGGACCCCAGCTGCCCGCAGCTCCCTTCCAGAGGTAGTGGGAGTCGGTGGTCCGCAAGAGTGGGGGCAGGGATGGGGTGAAGGCACGAATTCCCTCCTCTCCACTCCCTTCCTGTCTGGCCTCCAGCTTCCCTGCCCCTGCAGTGGGCTAGTTGGAGCAGATCTTCAAACGTCTCTGTGTTGTCCGTCATGCGTGGATGAGGGGCCACTCAGTGAACGAGGAGCAAGATGCTTGCCTTCGTGGGGTGTATGTTTCGGGGGGTAGGGGGAGACAGTCCGTCAAAACACAAATAAAAAGGAAGATAATTGTGAATTGTGATGGGTGCCACAAAGACAGCTCACTGGGGGTGACAAGACAGAGGCGCGCTCTCTAACATCAGCTCCACAATGAAGCTGATGTTTTTTTGGGGGGTTGGGGGGAGAGGTTTTTGCCATAAGGCGTGTGCGCTTGCTAGAAAGAGAGAGACAGAATGCAAGAAATCACCCCCCAGGGGGGATGGCCACGCCACAATCCCTTCTCCTCCATTCTCCTCTCAGGATCTTGGGCACGCACGCACACCTGCCTGGCTTGAGTTTAAGCCACCAGGTTCAGGACTGGAACTGTGGTTGACTACATGGGAGTCCAGCGACATAGCCATTATGCCATCTGCTGGTCCCGAAGTTGATGTTTTTCTAATGACAGGGGCACATGCACTCACTCGAGAGAAGGGAGAAAGCACCTCCCAGTGGGGTGTGGTCCTGCTACAGTCCCATGTTCATCCAGCCTGTCGGGATTTGGGACATGCGCTCACACGCCCAGCATGTTTTTCAAGCCAGCAGGGTGAGGATTTGAACCAGTTGGCCATGTGGGATCTGCCTTCCCTAATCACTGGGTTATAAGGCCATCATCGAATTTGAAATGTGTATAATAATGGCAATAATGCCAATACCCTTGTCAATTGTGTGCTTACTGAGCCTGGCACCGGTGTGAACCTTGACACAGACTATCCCACTGACACCTCAGAAGAAGCCAGTGTGGTCGGTACTGTTGTTATCGCCATTTTAAGCTACGGAACCAAGAGCCGGTTAGTGGCCCATCCCATGCAAGGCTTTATCCAGAGCCTTCTGCTGTGAGACTTCCCAGTCAGAGCGCTTCACCGCTTGAACTGCCCTGTTTGGCCAGAAGGGGTCACCCTTGTACCCATCTTATCATCCAGCAAAGTCAGTAGGTGTCTGCTGAGATTGGGATGGAGGGTGAATGGAGTCTTTCCTGCCCTTTCCTAAAAAAGGCAGAGGCCTTAAGGTAACCTGCCCAAAGGGCAGCCCCACTTAGCTCCTTTGGAAATCAGGGTCTCCTCCAGAGGGAGAAACATCTGCTAGCGATGCCATGGTGGGGACTCTTATTTTTCTTTTTGTCTTTTTTCTAGACTCTCCCAGGTGCCTCATGCTGGCCTTGTCACAAAGGTAGATTTTGGGGAATATTTGGTGTATTAATCCATGAGATTTTGTCTTGTTGGATGTGTGTGTGTGTGTGTGTGTGTGTGTGTGTGTATGTGTGTGTGTGTGTCACAAAGGTAGATTTTGGAGGATATTTGGTGTATTAATCCATGAGATTTTGTCTTGTTGGATGTGTGTGTGTGTGTGTGTGTGTGTGTTGGATCTGGTGGTCCGATTCATCAGCCCCTGAGTTGTCCCCTAACCCCTTCCCTGATTGCTATTTGGGGCCCCAATAGCCAGGCTCCCGTAGAAAAGTTTCTTTTCAGAAGCTGGCCTCTGCAGGCCAGGGGAGGGATGGGGAATCAGGGCTTTAGGCCATTTCCCAGCTCCCCCTCGCGGACACTGAGTTCTTTTTTTCCACGGGTCAAAGCAGACAGTGCTGCATGGCTTTGGGCAATTCCTTTACCCTCTCTGGGCCTCAATTGCTCTGTCTGTAAACTAGGGAGGCCGACCACGTTTGCCTTCTCTCCGCCCTCCAGCAGACCTCCGCTGTGTCTTCTCAGAGCGAATTCCTCTCCCAGCCAGGATGAACCCCCAGCCCTCTCCTCACAGTAAATTCTCCCCGGGGCCAGTTTCCAGTGGCAGTGGGAGCAGGGTCCATGTGTACCCTCCTGCCCTGGGTGCTCAGGGACGTGGAGGCTTACCGCTGACCTGTTTTTCTTCCTGTCCTCTCCACCCCGGCAGCAACCCTCCTTTTGGCAAGAAGAGCTTTGAGCAGACCTTGACCGTGGAACTCTGTGGCACGGCAGGTGAGCAGGTTGGGGAGGCTTGGCTGGTAGGCTTCCTCTGGGGGAGTTAACAGAACTCCTGGCAAGGAATGCCCTATGGAACAACTCGGGCAATGGGGGTGACTGCTGAGCCCTGCCTGCCACCGCTCCAGAGGCCGTTCTGGGTGTTGAGATTTGCGATGGGCGTGTTATAAGGAGGAGATGCAGTCAGGGCCTGGGGTTCAGCTGTTCCTCGTCCACTAATCACACATAAGGGGGTATCGGGGCCAGAAAAGAAAGGGACCCTATCCTTCCCCCAAGGAGCCCGCAGCCCTGTGGAGGAGAGAGACTCGCGTCACGAGCAGTGTTTGCTGAGCAGTGTTTGCTATGCAGGTTTCGCAGCGTGTGCCAGAGCCCGGGGGCAGGGAAGGGGGCGGGGCCGGGCAGGAGGGTGGCCTGGGACAACTTTGCAGGACACCAGAGCAGGGGACTTCTGGGTTGGGCTTGAAGGAAGAATAGACGTTGGAAAGAGGAGGAAGGGGAAGGGTTTGCCCAGCAGCAGAGTCAGCAAAGCAAAGGCAGAGAGGAGTGAGGACGGGAGCACCCGAGATGCCCAGCGCCTGGTCTTGCCCCACGGCAGAACCATGGCGGGGAGGTCCGGAAAGAGCAGTCAAAGGGCCGGAGGGCAGACGTGTCTGATCTCTAGCCTGTAGGCATCAGGAGCCCCAGAGAGGAAGAGGTGGCCTTTTAGCGCCGTCCCTTTGGTGCACAGGGGAGAATGGAGGCAAGGGCTGTGGGATGGTCAGGTCAGGTGGGCGGTCCCCGTGGTGGCCGCCCAATCTGCACGCTGGGAGGCAGCAGAGGCAGTGGGGAAGGCTGGGTGAATGGTGTGGAGCTGGGGGTTTCTCGGATCACTGGGTGGCTTCGACTGGCATTACCAGGCTACAGAAAGGATGGGCAAATGGATTTCACCACATGCCACCTCCAGAGAATTGAGAGTCCCAGGTCACATCCAAGTTGAGCCAGCGGTGCAGTGGCCAGTTAGTGGCGCCTGCCATCCGTCGGGGTGGGGGAGTGGTGGCACAGAGCCACTGCTTTACCATCCCACACCGGGGTCTCCACATCCTTGGGACGGATCTGTCTTTACATCTAATGTGTCTTCTCTTGCTCGGGCAGGACTCACCCCGCCCACCACGCCTCCGTACAAGCCCACAGAGGAGGACCCCTTTAAGCCGGACATCAAGCACAACCCGGACAAAGACACAGCTCCCAGCCTCCCCTCCCCTGAGGGCCTTCAGCTCGGGACTGTGCCAGGGGTTGCCCAGAAGCTGCCAAGGAAGCACCCGGAGCGGAGCGAGCTCCTGTCCCACCTGCAGCTTGCCACAGCCCAGCCGGCCTCCCAGGCTGGCCAGAAGCGCCCCTTCTCCTGTTCCTTTGGAGACCACGACTACTGCCAGGTGCTCAAGCCAGAGGGCGCCCTGCAGAGGAAGGTGCTGAGGTCCTGGGAGCCGTCTGGGGTCCGCCTCGAGGACCGGCCCGAGCAGGGTGCCGGGCAGGCGGAGGTACAGGCCCCTGGCAGGGAGGAAGACAGCAGCTGTGACACTGGCACCCTCCCCAAGGACAGTGTGCTGCTGAAAGACCACGAGATCCGCGCCAGCCTCACCAAGCACTTTGGGCTGCTTGAGACCGCCCTGGAGGAAGAAGACCTGGCCTCGTGCAAGAGCCCCGAATATGACACTGTCTTTGAGGACAGCAGCAGCAGCAGTGGGGAGGGCAGCTTCCTCCTAGAGGAGGAGGACGAGGCAGAGGAGGAGGATGAAGACGACTCAGGGGTCAGTCCCCCTCGCTCCGACCACTGCCCCTACCAGAGCCCACCGAGCAAGGCCAGCCGGCAGCTCTGTTCCCGCAGCCGCTCCAGCTCTGGCTCTTCGTCCTGCCGCTCCTGGTCACCAGCCTCCCGAAGGAACATCAGGTATGGCCTGGGGTGGGGGGCAGCAGGCAACTGAGGACCCGAGTTCCTAGGGGCCCAGGGGACAGAGGAGCCTTGGGAACTTGCTGTAGAACCTAGGCTGCCGGAGACCCTGAGAGTGGTCTTCTGCTTGGGCGCTGTTGGGGGGTCCTGGAGGGGACTAAAACCTGGTGTGTGACAGTTGGGAGCACTCCAAATCTCCTGGCCCCGTGAGAGGAAGAAAACCAATCTCCTGGCACTTTGTGGCTTTAAGCCTCAGTAAACATGCCCTTACTCATCGGTGTTTTCTGCTTTCGTATTTGCACGGGGGAGAGACTTTTGTGTGGACATACGTGCATCCACACAGTTGAAAACCTGTGCCTTCCACAGGTACAAGAGAGACTGGGGTATTCTCACCTGTGTTCCAGGAAACACAGAGATGGGTTTGTTCAGTTTCCCATCCTGCTGTGCTGCACAGTGGCTTCCAGCAGCCAGCCACTCCCTGAGCGCTCTTGCGCCTTGGTGTAGGTGGTGCCTCATGGACCTGTTCCCTCCTTCCCCTGTGCTCACCAAGCCAGCCCAGAGAGGGAGCTAGCCCCAGGGCAGCTGGGGCGCTGGACAGAAAGAACGAAGCAGGTGGAGTGGGGCACTGGTTGCTTCTCTCTGATGGATACAGCAGGTCGGGATTTTCTGGGAGGCTGAGGAGGACCTGCGAGGCCACTAGAGCACAGCTCAGAGTACCCCGGAGGGCTGGGTCCCACCCGGGGTCTGGTCCATAGGCCTGGGGTGGGAGTGCAGAATATTTCTAGCACTTTCTCAGGTGGTGATAATGTTGCCAGAGTGCTGTCCTCGGAGACCAGAATTCAGGTCATAGGAAGATATTATTTCTTAGAAAAATTCAGCTTTAGATTTACAGTTCTCTATCGGTCACTCTTAACTCCAAAAATCTGATTAAAACAAAGTTCCCGCTCCCCATTAATGCGCATATACATCTGACTGGCCATTCCATTTTAGGCAACTCACTGCACCCTAACGTTAAGAAGCCCTAACTGGTCTGTTACTTGAAATGAGGCCTCCTGCAGTTTCTCTGCATGCCCCTCTATAGAGTAAGCTGGGAACCGTCAGTCCCGTCAGGGCTTCTTTCTGGCCCGTTCCCCTTCCCCAGGGGTAGCTCCTGCCTTACAGCCCTGCTAGTCCAGGCTTCAGCCTTCTTTCTTTCTTCTTTCTTTTTTTTCCCCACTTGCCAGAAGGCATGTGTACTCACCAGAGAGAAAGGGAGAGGGAAGAAATCACCCCTCAATGTGGCTTGGATCGCATCACAATCCCTTCTTGAACTCCATTTCCCCATCTTATTGGGATTTGGGGCACATACGCACACATGCCTGGTGTGTTTTTCAAACTACTGGATCTGGAATTTGAACTACATGGTTGATCACGTGGGATCCAGGTCCCTTAACCACTAGGCCATGGGGCCAACCTTGAGTTCAGCTGGTACCCTGCTTTGCTGTGAGCTGACCCGCTCCATGTCCGCACGAGGTGGTAGCCTTACAAAGACTTGCTCAGTACACGGCCAGGGTTGTCTTCTTGGAGGGCATCCCAAAGCCAGAGCAGGGCTTCCCTGGCCTCCATCCCCTGCCCAGCTCAGCAGGGTTGGGCAGGGCCTGTATCCATGGCTTTGCTGGAGAAGAGTTGAGAACCTCTCTAGAAACTCCCACAGATTCTCTTTGTCTCTGCCCACTTTGGGGCCAGGTTTGGGACTGGCTTTTTCTGCTCACTGGAGAAAGTCAATTGGTTAACTCACTTTCTGCTCAGCCCCGGTAAGCTTGGTGAGCTAGTAACCAGCCTTCTGACCCAGTTGTCACCTGTGCTTCCACACCAACCATCCTTCACCGGGTGCATTTCGAGCTGTTTAACAGCACCTAGCCCCAAACCCACAGCACTTCCCAGTCATGTTGGGCTTTTCAGATGAGGAAGGCCTACTGAGTCTGCTGTCAGTGGGTGGCAGCACTATTATGAGGGAGCATTTTAAAGTCTGCAGGTCCCATCCCTTTCTACAGGAGGTCTTCAGGAAGTTAGAGGACAGTGCATACTATGAAAAAACAATGCATGGGCTGGAAATATTTTTGCACCAGAATAAGCTTCTACTTTAGTTCTATTTCATTTTTCATGAACTTTTCAAGTCTCCGTTTCCACACACACACATGCATACACACATACCTCGTAGTACCCTATTTTAGCTTCACAGATGCAGTGTGCATCTGCTTCTCATCCCCACGTTGTAAGCGAGGAAGCCAAGGCTCAGAGAGATTAAACAGAAAAGCAGCAAACATGGAGTATGGCACATTCTCTGGGTTAAGCATGTACGTGCATTTTCTAACTTTACCCTCACAAGTGACCAGGGAGATAGACACCCTCGATTGTGTCTGTTTTCTAGATGAGGAATTGAAGCCAACGGGGCTGGCCTGACTGGCAGGGAGGGGATGGGGCCAGGACTCAAACACAGGCTACCTGACACTGAGTCTGCATTCCTGTGTTCCCGTGCTATCCTCAAGGCTTCAAACCAGTTGCCGAGGGCAGTGAACAGAGAGGCCAGGAGGGCTGTGGGCGTGAGGCACCCAGCAGCCTGCTTGGCTGTGTGGAATGGTCAGCCTGACAGCTGGCCTGGACACGGGGAGCTGTGTGGGGCTACAGTCAAAGACCTGCCCCTCGCTCTGGCTTCTCCGCTTTCTAGCTTTAGGCCACTCCCTCTTAGAGAGAGATTTTCTTTTGCTATAGGGTGTATACGCTCACCAGAGAGACAGAGACAGAAAAAAATCACCCCCTAGGGGAGGGCCATACCGCAATCCCTTCTCCTCCATTCTCAGGATTTTGGGCATGTGTACACATGTTCCTGGTGTGAGTTTTAAACCACTAGGTCTGGGACTCAAACCACAGTCAACTACCATCTGCTGGTCCTGGCAAATTCATCTTAAACCTGAGCCTTGACTTTTTCCTCTAAAAACTGGAGAAAACAAGAATTATAGGGATTTTTTCCTCAGATCAGTTAATGCAGTGAGAGGGCTTTTCCAACCACCGTGGCATGAACAGGTAAGGCAGGGCCCGCAGGTGGCATGGTGGGTAAGGTGCTAGACTCCCACATGGCTGACCGTGGTGTGAGAAAATCAAAACTCACTCCAGGCACGTATGCGTGTGTGCCCAAAATCCCAAGAGGAGGATGGAGGACAAGGGATTGTGGTGTGGCCATCCTCTCGGAAGGGTACTTCTCACTTTCTCTGTCTCTCTGTCTCTTTGGCAGACACATGCACTCATAGCAAAGCCCTTTAAAAAAAAAAAAAGGAAGAAAGAAAGGTGAGGCTTAGAAGGATAGGGCACTAGGGAACCAGCAGTTGGCACAATGGCTATGTCGCTGGACTCCCACGTAGTCAACCGTGGTTCAGACCCAGTGGCTTAGAACTCACGCCGGGCGCATGTGCGTGCGTGCCCAAGATCCCAAGAGGAGAATGAAGGAGAAGGGATTGCAGGCTGACCCTGGGGGTTGATTTCTTGCTTTCTGTCTCTGTGTCTCTCTCTGTCTGTCTGGCCAGCGCACATGTCCTATAGCGAAAAACCTCTCAAAAAAGAAAAGAAAAGAAGGAAGGGACACTGCTGGTAGCACGGTGGTTCCAACGATCTGCTCTGGAAAGGGCGGAAGGCACGGGCCAGGTGTTCAGACTCGCGCAGTCCTGGGCTGTCGTTCTGCAGGACGGGGTGGCCCGCTTCTGCTCTCAGGAACCCCTGGCCTCCTGCAGCCACCCCACCCCTGTCCACCACATCCCTCCTGAGAGTGAGTGTCTCTGCTTTGCTTGTTCACTGACAGATGTGAGAGCAGAGGGCCGTGCTCAGACGGAACCCCACGTGGCCGGCATGCCAGGAAACGGCGGGAAAAGGCCATTGTAAGTGACCTGGGACCCCAGAGCCCGGAGCAAATGGGGATGATCAGGGACACCCAGAAGCACAGGGCTTCATGGACCCTTTGAGGCTAGCTAGTGAGCCCTTCGGCCTTCAGCCCCTGCTTGGGAATAAAGGGACGGTGGCCTGCAGAAGGCCACGATATTTCTCTCATTGAAAAGCTCAAAAGCCACGAAAGAGCGTTAAAGGTGGCACCTTGTGAATCCAGCCAAGAGACCGGGTTTATGGCTCAGCATCAGGGGTCTTAGGATGGCTAAGAGGGAAGGCCGTGGTAGAGAGCAGTTGGGCTGATCAGGGTCTATCCAGCCCTGCCACTACCTTCTATGTGACCTCGGGCGGGTCCCCCAGCCTCCTTGGGCCTCATTTCACTCATCTGTACACAAGGGGGTTGGGCCTTATGCTTCCTCAGGGTTCCCCCAAGTCGATCAGGGATAAGGGGCCTAGAAACCCTGTCCCTCCTCCCTTCACCACTCTCCCCCAGAGTTTGTCCACATCCTGGCTCGTGGCTCTGCTTGGAACCTGCTCAAAGCTCCCCACAGAGAAGGCGCCTCAGGGGCCTGCAGTGAGGAGCTGAAGTCGGCCAGCTGCCTTCTCACTGGAAATGAGGGACAGAACGCAGGACAGGAACACAGAAAGACAAATAGATTCCCACTCGGTGTTTTTCTCCCCCACCGTTTGGTGTCGGGGAGGCAGGGAGAGACACTGAGGTTTGCACATCCCAGAGGCACAGAGCTCGCTACAAGCAGGTACTGAGGGCCACAGGTTGTGCCGAGTGGCTTCCTGGGGTCTGGAGTGATCAGCCCGCGGTGTGATAAGCCTGGCACTGTCATAGGCTTTGGGTGACAGCGATGAGAAGACAGACGAGGTCTGTCTTGGTTAGAGCAGAAGGGAGAGGTAGACAGTGGGCTTCTAGGCAAAAGAGTGTAATTACAGAGCGGGGTGAGCGCTGAGGTGTAATTAACGTCACGGCCAAAATGTTGGAAATAAGCATTGTGTTAGTGCTGTTGGGGTGATGTGTGTGGGTGGTCAGGGAAGGGCATCTTCAGGGAGCTAGGCCCTGATGGTGGGAAAAAGCAACCAAGCCAAGATTCAGGAGACAGTGTTTGGGGCAAGGGCAGGAAGAGTTTTATGAGTTCAAGAAACTACAAGAAGGCTGGGAAGAGGGGGTTTCTCTCTTGAGGTGCCCCTTGACGTATTATGGTGGGGTACTCAGTTCCTGTGACTTTGGCAGCCGAGCTCCATGTGGCTCCCAGGCTCACTGCCTTTGGTACATGGGTAGGGCGGCTGGACAGCGACAGTGTCTAACCTGCCCCCAGAGGAAGCCCATCCACACCGGAAACTTGGCTTTGCTCACGGCACACAGGTTTCCGGAACAAGGCCGGGGTTTTCTGGCAGGTCAGAGCCACTCTTCAGGTTGCTTCAACTAGATCACATGACAGATCTCGGAGGCAGACGGGGAGGTGCAGCCCCGGCTTTCCCACACCCCTTCTCTCCGGGCTGCGCCGGGCGCCCATTGGCACAGCACCGAGCTCTCCCAAAGGTGGCTTCATGGTCACGGTGTCTGCACAGTGGCTTCAGCTACTTTACCTTGGCAAAACCAAAGATAATGATGCCTCCAGTGGCCTTAGAGCTCCCTGTCTCCATACCTTCCCTTCTAGTCCACTCTGACTCCCCCAGAGTCCCCAGTGTTTGCCCCCCCACCATCCTCTGAGACCTGTGTACCTGCACCCCATAGTTCCCCTACTCAGACCTCAAAACCCCATACAGGAGCTTCCGAACATACAGGTAGACTAAGGTGACGGAGCCCTCTCCCTTCCCAGCCTAGCCTCTGCTCATTGCCCTCAGGTAAGAGGTCGCGTCCTCTGGGGCCACTTCCCCATTCCACTCTCAACAGCCTCTTCCTCCAGCAAGGACAGGTCGTCTGGCATAAAGATCATCACTGCCAGCCTGAGTCCAGCTGGTGTTGCCCACCCAGCCAGGCGTCAGGGCCAGAGGCGAGAACTCCATGGGAGCCCACCACCCAGGGGCTTCAGAAGCCAGGCAATGACTGGGCCCCCCTGTATCCCCCCTCTTGAGCAGGGCGAAGGCCGCGTGGTGTATGTTAGAAATCTTTCCAACGACATGAGCTCCCGAGAGCTGAAGAGGCGCTTCGAAGTGTTTGGCGAGATCGTGGAGTGCCAGGTGCTGACGAGGAGTAAGAGGTGAGTCAAGTCAAACCATCACAGAGGGCAGTGTGTTGGGACAGAAGAGATTCGAGATTGTGGAGCAAATTCAGTGAAGTCCACAGCCTATACCTGGTGATCCAGGCCCAGTGACAGCAGCAGACACGTGCTGGTGGTTACGAGGGCCAGGCAGTCCG